AGAAGTGAGGAGGGATCATCACGGAGAAGCTTGAAGCTAAGCCGCTCCTTGACATCCAAAGCCAGTCCCTGAGGTTCTGCTGATAAGGCTTCCTGGTTCTGCCGATACAGTTCGAGTGGTAGGATGTGCCAAGCGTGAAGTGATTCACCATCAGGAGTAGTGAGAATAAAAGGTGTGACTTGACTTCGAAGAAATCCCCATTGTTCTGGTATATTGACATCTTGAAACCAAGTCAGAGTTACATGATTAAGGTATATGACTTGGTCCTGTAAAACAGGGATCGTGAGTAGACCGATAAAGAGAGCGTATAACCCGATGCAAGCAAGCAAGCCGTAGAAGACCGACCGCAATGCAGCCACAAGTGCCATAATAACTTGTGATACATACGATTCTGTGCTTTCGAATATACAGTCTGTGGGGTGAGGGGCATCTATGAACTTTGAAGACAAGAGCAAGATGGAAACAACTGGAAGCCTACTGGACGCGATTTATACGGCGGTACCCGTCGGCTCCCTCTAATTGGCGCTTGGGCGTGACCCAACGCCATGCCGATAAGGAGCACCCCTAACGGTGCCGCCACTATGCAACCCCAACCAATGAGACCTGCGGACGTGAACCAACAGCATATAAGGCTCAATGTCGTGTCTGACCAGGTGTTAGTCGATTGGTTTGCATTTATTCGCGACAGCGTGATCTACTGCTATAACTCCCAACCACTTATCTTACAAGGTGACACCAGGTCACAGCATATAGTCACAAGCGGTAGCGTACCAAGTGTCGAGGTAGCAACTCTATTATGGATAAAAAAGGTTGTATATATTAAGTATTATCTAGTTATTTTATTTTAAGGTTTATTAGTCTAGACAAAGTAAGATATGCCAGAAGATAAAGAAAATGGGTACAGAGTTTCCGATAACGTGAGCTAGAGCGGGCAGCTGAAAAGATAGCTGATTCTGGTCTTTGTCTTAGGGCTGTGAGACTGAGGACTTTGTGAGGGCAATATAAGAGCGATGTGACGTCTGTAATCTCGTAGCAAATGATCGTTGTACACGTTTGCAGCCGGACAATGGAGCAGAGCAAAACATTCTGTCGAAGCGTTTCGAAAAGTTAGCTTCAAGGAATGGACCATTCGGATGGCTTTCTTTGCCGATATGGGTGGATTTGTCATGAAACCACAAAAGAAAGCTATAACTTCCCGTTCAATGCAAAACAATTACATTGGCTTGTCGTGCATAAACATGTTTAAATGCCAAGTATCAGAAACGAAGAGATATGGGGCAAGTCAAAGCAGGACCGACTGGCGAGGGCCATCACGTCTTTCCAAGTTGGCTATCTCATCATCCAATGCATTGGCCGTGCAGCGACACCTCTAACTACAACCGCTTTGGAGCTCAACGATTTGGCTATAGTGGTCTGCTTACTGATGACCCCATTTGCCTGGCTTCATAAACCATCAGATGTTCGCACACCTATAATCCTCAGAATCGAGAATGGAGACTTACACCCTTGGACTTCGTCGACGAGAATGGGCAAGCGTGGTCTGTAAATATGCAGCCGTTCATGCGAATGCCTGTCATCCCGCCTGAGAGACCTAATGATAGGCTTCACGTGAGTCCATACGGAATCCAAGAATATTGTGTTCGTTTCGCAACCTTGGTGTTTATCGGCATATATGTCGCGGGTTGGAACTTTACTTTTCCTTCGAGGATCGAGTCAATTCTTTGGCGTATTTCTAGTCTCATTCTGCTCTCTGTAACGGCAGCCTTTTGGATACTTGAGACTATGGCATCGTGGAAGCGACTGGGCCGATGGACGTGGATTTATTTGAGACTGGCCGATCGCAAAAGACAAGCCGATTTTGAGAAGGCCAAAGCAGATGAACTCTCCAGGGAGGAGCCTCAGCCGCTCACTAGTCTTCCCTTGCCGTGAGAATCCTGGAGCATTGCATCAGTCGATATTCTGTATGGCGTCCCTCGGCTTTGTTCACTGATAGAGACGTTTTTGGAGTTACGGAATTTAAACAGAGCGGCTTTTCTTAATGTTGATCGGACTTACTTCTTGCCTCAAATTTAAGTTATCGACAGCAATGATCAGTTTTTATATTACTATTAGTTCGATAAAGATATCCTTTTATTTACAGCGATGTCATCTATTTTCACTTCAAATCACAAGCGTAGTCCATCGCGAAGACAGCCATGGAAACCTGTACATCCACTCCCCCCAACTACCCGATTCTACCTTTCATCTTTGACCAATACTGCAACTGCTTCCAGACTTGTCATCAATATAAAAAGAGGCTATTATATTCCGATGATAAGCGTCCGAACACTAGCTATCCTCTCTATACTCAATTCCCTGGTCTTGATTAAGGCCATGTATTGTCTGCCTTTCTCTCCGTCTCTCCATTTATCTACTATATACATGATTCCCCAACAACGCTAAACGGTAAGTCCAAACTCAACAACTTGTCAAGTATAACACAAGAAAGTCCCCTAGGGTAATCATAATGTTACGGAAGTATTGAGTCATGATTATAAGCGGTACTCAGAGTGGCTGTCCCCTCACCTCGAATATCTACCGTAGAGGAACAAAATTCTTGCGAGATATTTCACCGTCTTTCAAGCCATTCTACTATTAGTATCAAAACAAGATTTCGTGTAGTCTTCTACATCAAGTTCCTTTCGTTAGACTCCCAAGCGGGATCAATATTCTATACGAAATTGGTTATAAATTCAAGTCGTAATTGTAATTAATACACGAAATAGGCGCTCAAGGTACGCATGTTATGCTCGCCAAGTTGTCTAGGTCAAATGATATAGAAATTATGCAGCCCTACTCGCGTTGGATCGTTCGTGGTCACAAATTTAAAACACAGACACCGAAACAAAGGCCGAGAACGAAATCACATAGAGAGCTTAATAATAAGTTTTCGTGCCCCTCCCACCATTTGTAAGCCAAGCTAAGTTACCCCGCTAATGACCCTACGAAGCACAATGACACGACTACAATTATCTCGGTGAGATCGATTGAGGCGAAAAGTAAATTCCGGGGACGATCGGAGGTTAGGGGGATCTGTATGTAGTATAAATATGCATAATCCATATCGGCCAATTTTAGCTTAGATGAAACATTAAACTTCAATCTATGAGCTCGTAATCACATTAACGCTTAACACTTTCCCTATGGCGGACCTCAAGTATTACAATTACCCAGGCGTCGGAGAAGAGAACAAAAAGAAATATTCCTACAGCCAAGCCGTACGCGTGGGCGACACTATACAAATTTCCGGGCAAGGTTCGACGAACTCCCCCTTTCCCTTCCATATCTTACTAACCCTTATCTAGGCGGCTGGGACCCCAATGGCGGTGGCATCCCGCATGACATCCAGGCACAGATTGACCAAGCATTCGCAAATGTCGAGCTGGCGTTGAAAACAGCGGGCGGAAAAGGGTGGGAACAGGTGTTCAGCGTGAGGTCGTACCACCTGCCGCTTAATAACGAGGCCTTAGAAGCCGTGGTGCGCAACTTTAGGACTTGGTGTCCGGACCATCAGCCCCTTTGGACATGTATCGGTGTTCAAAGGTTAGGGGAGGACGATATGCGGGTCGAGATCGAGGTGCAGGCATTTGATCCTGAAGGTGCGAAGAAGGTGTAGGTAGCGAAGGATCAGGATAAGGGGCACCTTCAGCGCTTGTTCATACAGACACCTGAGCTTCCGTCAGATCACTGGGCAATATCGGGCAGCCTAGGCTTAGTGAGGTAATCAAAATTTCTGCATTGGTAACAGGGCTCCCTAACATTAGAGCTTATTTCGCCGAGTCTATCTCCGTTCTTGGACGTATTCTACGAATCGTTTCATTAGAAAGGTTTGGTCGGTCGATAACCTCAAAAGATTTAGACCATTCGACCAGACTATGGCTAGGCAGAAAAGGCTTTAGCAGAATAGAAGACATCGGAAGGCTAGAACTGATGGTTGGTTCCATCTCACACGATCTACCTATGCTTCTCAACGCTCTCCCAAGGTATCCGCCTGAAAAGACATTCCTCTAAGCGCCCTCTCCAATGAAGAAACGCAAAAGGAGTTTATCCAAGCACGAACCTCATGACCCAGATGTGACAGAATTCGTTATCGAAAAGAGTCAACTCAACGAAGCATCGCCTCGTTATTATACAGGAATATCCGATCATGACTTAGCGAACGATAACAAGGATCTTGATGCCCTCAACATTGGTCCATCTCCCGTCGGTTCTATATTGGATCATGAGTTCGCCGAAGACATTGAGGAAATGCTTTCTATAGAGAAGGGAGACGTGAGCATATCGGATGCCCAAAATGCTCTAGCCCCCATGTCGCATCGCATCTAGAGACTAGAAGGCTCAAACAAAGATCCCTAATCGAATTCATAGTGTTTAAAACGATATAACAGAAGCAAATCGAGACATTGGATCGGAACTCACTTACGAAAGCATGGTTTCACATCATCCATTGTGGCCTGCAGTCAACGATCAATATTGCATCCAAGCCTTTGTTAAGTAAGGATGGATTAGATATAAAAACCACAGAACAGATCATTGCATCAGGTGCTATCAAAAGCTCAAACTGGGAGAGTATAACAGAAGCTTTCCGCAACTGGATGTAAAACTAAAAAAGGGATATCAATTGACGGCATAAGCATATCATCAGCGGAACAACCATACGAAGTATACAATACTCTAATGCCTACTACACATGAAGAACTAAACTACGTTGGCATTTGTAGGCTAAAAAGAATGGTGAAGCTGACCTGATTTGAACAGATAACCTTCGGGACTGGAATCCGACGCGCTAGCCGTTGCGCCACAGCTCCTTGCATGGATGAGCGACCGATCGGTTCATCAGTACCTAACACATCGAGTAGTTGGGAAAAGGCAAAAGGAACGAAAAAGACGTTGATTCTATAACAGAAAAACAAAAATTTGGACTTGTCATTCCTTAAGTAGGATGTAACATTATGGGGAATTGAACCCAACCCGATTTGAACGGATGACCTTCTGGAGGCAGCTGTAATTTGTAAGGTTTAAAGCTGGAATCAGATGCTCTACCGCTGAGCTATGGGTCCAGTGATGACAGATTGAGTGATTAAAAGGACATTCCTAATTCATTGGCCTCCAGGTTGGCAACTTAGCTTGGTGGGGAAATATTGAGTAGACTTGTTTAGGTTTTCCTCGGAAAAGGCGGTCAGAAGAGCCCGTTGGACCCTAGGTAGTACGGCATAATAAGTCAACAGAGCACTCCGTACTGTGTGTTCAATATTGCGTTTTTAAGATTAAGGGGACGGAGCAAGTAGTATCGAATGGAAGTAATATCTATAAAGGGCTGCATTATCATTATTTTTTCTTTTTTTTCGCCTTGGCTGTAAACTCCGCCTGCGACCACAGGTCTTAGTCTCCAAGCCTGCGCATTTTGACCTCCCTGAAGCTACTACAGCCCACACAGCACCCGTACTATATACCATTAGATGTACTGGGCTGAAGGGAAGCCTATCCAGTTCACTCCATCCTCCGTATTTAAATAATCATTGAGAAACTCGTCTCGAAACTTTAATTTCAATTCACCCTTCCACTGAAGACTCTCGCCGTGCTCTTCCATTTCTGCCACCATCTGCCACGTCTTGGCGTTCTCTCTGTGCTTGCGCCAGCGTCCCTAGAGCCTCTTAATATAGGTAGCTAGCGAGCATACGGACTGGCTATGTGAAGAAGTGTGCTCTGCACTGCTACTGCGTCTGCTTCAGCGAGCTCTGTAGACTGGCTGTACCCGCTTCTATAGCATTTAACGTAATCTGCTCCTTTCCTGATCGAGTTTTTTGAAACTTGAAGTAGTTTCTGTTGCGGTTCGACAACTTTTCCATAGGTAAGTCGTTGCGACGCAATGTAGGGAATATAGACCTAGTTTAGTCATTCCATATTCCAGCGCCTCTGCCATGGACTAAGCCATGCGGGCTCTGTTGCAATAGAGCCTGAGCCGCATTGATAGCTGTCGATGGGGTATAGAGGCGACAGCCCTGCCGAAGGGGTAGGGTCCATCATAATTAAGAACTGTTGATAAATATAACTAGGTATACGCAGTGCGGTGGGAAAACTTGGTAAACTACGGCGAGGGAGATTTTTAACGATAGCCACCTGCTTCGTATAAGACGGAGCTACGCAAGTTAGTTTATGCCTTGTTGATGTCAGAAACATTATTTGGTATTTATTACTCATTTTAAGCTTCGAGATACGTTTAAAGCGACCCTACTGTTCATGCGGGTGTTCTTCGAAAGCCTGGATAACAATATATACGAATATATAGGTTTCACCGATGTATATATGTTGTTGCGGGATGCGTGGATGTGTTCAGATGAATGATCAGCCAAATGAATCTCTATCAGGAATAGAGAGTGCTCGAGACTCCAAATCTCAAGCGAAACAGATAAAGCTTGTGGGCTAGTGCCCACACGCCTCTGACCATCTTGTCTAGTAAAGCAATATCCTTCCCCCTATCTACTTTTCTGCTATAGGATACGGAAATCTGACGCCTCGCGCGCCTTCTCGCTTCAATGGGAGAGGGGGCTTGCGTTACCCAGCTCACCAAACCTTCTACGCGTACCATAACAGGGAGGCGGACGGCCCGAGGCGCAAACAGCAAATTATAGTTCAGCCCCCTCAGCCTCTGCTGTCTCCGCCACACTATAGAGTTTGAGGCTGAGGAGGACAAGAAGCATAAATACCCATTCGAGAAAGCGGCTGGCTCACGAGCGTCGCTTTGATGTATTAGAGATAGAAGAAAAGGCGTGAAAATCGAGGCCGCTGGTTCGAATTGGGTGTGAAACCATACGTAAGTATTCATGGGTCAGAATAAAACGCAGGAAGACAAGTCCACCGCCCAACGCAAAACCGACCACTCCAACTCCACACATCATCCCTCGCTATCACGTCTACTAGTAATCCTCCCAAAGCTCTTTCCGATAACCCTCAGTAAGGCGTTCATCAGTACCGTAAACCTCCTGCCAGCCAGTAAAGCCCTGATCCAGGACATAGACCTTCTGCTTCTTTGCACTCTCCTTTCCATCAGCAGCATCGGCCTCCTTTGCGCGCAGGTATCTTAACGCGGCGCTGGGCCCGCGCTGCTGACTCAGGGCGCAGTGGAACACCACGGTCTCCTTGTCCGCGAGCTTGCGCAGCAGCGTGGGCATGGTGGCGTCGAGGCTGCGGCTGGGGAAGTGCAGGGAGGTGCGGATGTGGCCGCCTATGTAGTCTAGAATATAGGGATATAGTAAGCTCCTACTTGTAACCTCTACCTCAGGTAGGTGAGGTTGTTGGGGAGCTACCTAGTAACTCATGAAGATGAGAGAGAAACGAGCAAAATTCCTCAGTAGTGACGAGGAAGGGGGAAAATTTTGGAAGAAAAGAAAGAGGATGAACTAAATATAACCTAGCTCACCATCATCCCGGACATCCACAATAGCAATATTGTTCTCAGCTGTCTGTCCATTTGCAGTCGCATTAGTAGCGTCAGCAGCGAGGAGTCTCTCAGCAAGTCTGGCAGCAGTGATACGCTCCAAGCTGGAGATAGTAATGAGTGACATGACGACCGATTTCAATTCGTTTGGGTGTGTTATAGAAATATGATGTAGGTTGTTGCAGTCGTCTCGTCTCGTAATGGTATTAATAATACCGTATTTTGGCACCAGAGGAGTTGTTCAGTAAAACGACGAATTTGCGAGAAGCCAATTTTATGACCAGACGGCGACTTAATGAAAGAGTATTAATACGTAGGAAATCAGGATGAGATGTCTAGTATGTGAAATGAATTTGAAACGTGAGCATGAATCAATTGGTTTGTTCTCATGGTCCCAGAACAAAGGTTGATGAGCACGCAGTGTCTTAATTTGGATAGATGTTTGTTAGATGCATACTTAAATCATTCACTACTCCTGATAACTGCATATTGCCTCTCGACAGCCAACGTCTATGAAATCTTGTCTCAACACATATTCAGTAAAAGTACCTAGTGGTTTTAGTAGTGTGGACTCTGTATTTCATTCTACCATTACCATAATAACCTCTACCTATCAGTTACGCACTTCTCTAGTCTCTATCTGGTATAAGTAGTACATAAGCAACAATACAGTCATTAGAATCCGCGTCTTCGAGCACCCAGCACCAGGCCCTTGCTCAAGCTCAAGGCCACATACCGTCCCACAGGAACAGCCAATTAGCCCAGTATTTATCAAACTTTCCCACAATATATGACAATCCATCCCCTTCCGTGCCCACCTTGTACGGCCGCGTATAAAGACCACCTGTCTTGAGATGGCGCTTCATAGCCACATGCACCGAGAAGCTGCTGGGCTGTACACCCACGAAGAACTCGCTTCCCAGTAGAACTACGTAATCGATGAGGCCCTGCTGATCCCAGCTGAGCTCATCGAGCTCGTCCAGCTCGTCGTCTGAGAGTAGATCTATTTTAGTCACGATCTTCATCTGCGCCATCTCAATAGCGGCATCCATAAACTTCTCTGCTTCCGTCTGGTTACCCGTGGCGAGATAAGCCGTCTGGTAGCCTCGTTTCTTCGCCTCGTTCATGTAGGCTTCAGACTGTGAGTCGTAGTGCGGCCAAAAGCCCAAGGCATCGCTTTCGGTTCGTAAGTGAATGCCAAGAAAAGCACCGTCCTTGGATCCGTCGGCGCGGGCAAATGCGTGCATCTTCTCTAGCGTCTTCTTTCCTAGCTGCAAAAACTTGTCGTTGAGCTTTAGGATGCCGCCGAAGGTGGCGGCTAATTCGGGACCGTCACGATAGATCTGCCAGTCAAAGAGCACGCCCCAATTGAAGCGGATGAGACGCGGATGCGCCTTGGTCGGCGTATGGCCGTGCTTCTCGTTTTTCAGCCACCTGCGGAAGGTCTGACCGAAGCGATCGGTATGTCTGTTCTGGTCCCAGGGGTCACAGCTCTCGCGGTTCCCGAAGTCCTTGGGGGTGATGTTACTGATCTTAGGAGGCTTGCCGGCGCCGGGAATATTGGCGACATCGTCATAGAGTGTGATTTGGGGGCAATTCTTGTTGAATGCATCGCGAAAGTGCTGCTCGTCAAACATGTATGAGAAAGGGAGGAAATCGGTGAAGAGGTCAGCCAGGTCCTTCTCGTTGCGCTTGCGGATCCTGGGAATAGTGAGGCCCGTTGCGCCGGCCTCGAGCGCGTAGCGTATGCATGTCTGAATGTAATTTCGTATATTCCCAATCCCTCCCGAATTGTTGTCGCAAATGTAGACAAGACCCTCCACCCAGGTAGTCTCGTCACAAAGACGTTTCAAGGGCCAGCCGACAAAAGGTGCGTCGGGTTGGGATAGGTCGACATCGTTGCCCGGGCTCGAAGATAGATGCGCTGAAGATTGTTGGCTCTGTGGCGATGGCGGGCGGGGCGCCGAGGAAGAGGAACCGGAGGAAGAGGATGGCGACGACAACGGCTCGACTGGCGGCGGCGGAGGAGGAGGAGGAGATGAAGATGACGACGAAGACGAAGATGAGGATGATTTGGACTCGAACCAGTCGGCAGAGGGGTAGGGATAGGAGCTGGCGTTAGGTAGTCGGAATGTCCATACTGCAATGAGGAGGACGATGCAGAGCGTCGGGAGGAAGATGTTGCGTCGAGGCATGAAGCCTGGGAGGGAGTTCAGATAGCCATTATGTGCCATCACAAGAGGAGAGGAAGAATAGCAGCAGCACAGACGGGTTGCACTAATAGGTCGACCAACTGCGTGGCGTTGCGCCAGAGATCAATTCAGGTTTAGCTCATGCGGCCTTCCCCCTGTTGATCGTCATTAGTGCGCTGCGCCGGTACAGCTAACGAGTAATGATAGCTAAGTAATAGGTACTATGATCAATAGATACAGTGGGATCCGGGGTAGGGGTGTAAGGTTTTGGAGGTTGGGTTGAGAAAAGATGTTTTGTTTCTATCAAAAATTGAAAAATGATGGATGGGCTTGTAGATTTAATAATAGGAATGAATATAGGTGGTAACATAAAGCAAGTCACTCTTTCCGTTACTTTCTCCATCCTTTTACCTTTATAGTTGCTCGTACT